TTTACACTACTATTGTGAACAAATATAAAATAATATGTTATTCATTATTTTAATTAAATTAAAAAGGGAGAATAATATGTTATTCATTATTTTAATGAAATTAAAAAAAAATAAGTATGTTTTAAATTATTTTTCCAAGTGATATTCTAAATCACATAAATAATATGTATATTTTATATTATTATTGTGAAATATATAAAATTAAATGATAAATATAATATTTATTATTTTAAATATTATACTATCTAATTTTTATGAAATTATTTCTTTTACTGTTTTATATTATTATTATTATTGTGAAAAAATTAACAATAATATTCATTAATTTTATGATGATATATCTAAATTAAAAGGTTGGGACTAAAATGAAAAAAAAAAAATAAGATGAAAGGGTTAGAAAATGGAGGGGCTAAAATGAAAAAAAAAAAAGATAAAACCCAAATTTTGCAGTAGACGCAAATTTGCGTCCAAAACAGGAGAGAGAAGGCCATGAACGCATTTTGCGATCAAAATTGCAGTTCGGTTGGAGAGAAATTTGCTGCAAAAAATGGGTTTTGCGTCTCGGTTGGAGACGGTCTTAGCGAGTTGGATTTGCGTTTAATTTGGTTGGGTTTGCCTTTAATATTTGGAACAGTTCTGACCTTTTAACGGCCCAATATGGGCTATAAGTTGTAATTCATGCCGCGGCGAAAATACAGCTGTATTTAATCATAAAAAAAAAAAAAAAATAGTAAAAATATGGAAGGGTAAATTTTTCACATCAGCAAATAGGCAAATACTTAGGCACACCTTGCTAGGTGTGTCAGGGCCTTTTGTGAAATGCAATCCTCCCAAAGGCGCGTGAGGTAAGAGGTAAGAAGGTAAGTATTTTTTTTTTAAAAAAAAATGTGACATGTGTCCCATATATCATATTATATAAATTAAATTATCATTCATGTTTTGTATCAAAAAATAAAAATAAAAATAAAAATACCAAAATTCATAATTTTTCATTCTCTACAAATAGAGACCACATTTGATATTTTTTTTGAACACAATTAATTTATCATTTTTTACAATTAATTTATCTTATTGGAAAATTATGACGCAAATCTATAATTAGATGAATATGTTACATAGTAAGATGAACATGTTATAGAGTAAAATGAACATGTCATAGAAAAAGATGAAAATATTACATTTTCACAGATGAAATTTAGATGAACATGTTCTAAAATAAGATGAACATGTTACATAATAAAATGAACATGTTATAGAATAAGATGAACATGTTACATAGTAAAATGAACATGTTATAGAATAAGATGAACATGTTTAGATTTCATATCTACATCGCGGGCTCTCACATTATTTTCTCCCATTTCCACTTCATACACAAAATTCTGGTCAATTTCTTGCTCGACTTTCACTCGTTTGATGCAAGCATCCCCGCCCTGAAATAATAAACCATAATCTACAGTTAAGAACTCAAATTTATGCAATAGTCATACTATAGGGAATGAAAGTGAAAAACTAGTAGAATGTAAAAGAAATTCCATAAATTAGTCTTTCGATCGAATATCCTCCACCTTCACAAACCAAAATCCTCTCTAATAAGATGAAAATGTTACATTTTCATAGATGAAATTTAGATGAACATGTTATAAAATAAGATGAACATGTTACATAATAAAATAAACATGTTATAGAATAAGATGAACATGTTACATACACAATAAGGTGAACATATTATAAAACGACAAATTAGTTGTGTTCAAAAACCTATCAAATGTGGTCTCTATTTATAGCTAATGAAAAATTATGAATTTTGGTATTTTTATTTTATTTTTTCAATATAAATAATTAATGATATTTTAATTTATGTAATATGTCTCATTTTTCAATTAAAAAGAAAAACTGGGATGTGCACTACACTTTCTTAATTTCTCTAGTTTTGGGGAGTGAAGGGCGCGTGCAAATGTGCCCTGGCACACCTAGCGGTAGTGCTACTGCAACAAATAATAAGTAATTTTTTTTTGTCTTACAAATGCGAAACAAACTATGCGATAAAATATGCAACATATAGGCGAAAATAAATGAGTAAAGGTGAAATTTATATCTATATAAAAAAATTACCATTTTTTAAAAATAGTAAGTAGAAAATCTAACAACATTAATTGCATGTCATTTTTTAAATTATTTTGAATTTTTTTAAACATAATTGGCAAGCATTAAATGTAGCCTAAAATCGTGGATTTGGAAAACAAAAAAACGTAATTATAGCTTCACAAATCTCACACATGTTTCCAAAATGATAGCATTGTGTTATTTGGTTTTTTATTATTTTTTTATGAGTAATTGAGAGAAATTAGGATGCATCTATAATTAATGTATAATCGAGTATACCGTTAATAGTTTCAATAGATAAAAATGCATAAAACTTAAAAGTATAATTATATAATTTTTTTTATATAATACATAATTTTCAAATTTTCAAATTTCTCTCCCAATGTTTAATGACTAAGATTTATAAATGTAATCATATTTATGGCGTATAAGTTTATAATATTTACTTCATAATTTAAATTGAATATGATTTGTAATCAAAATAAAATGAAATAAGTACACATAAAATACATTTAATATTTTTTATTCTTTTTTTTTTCATCAACACACTACCTCTAATAATTTAAAAATCAAGTCCTATAAACTAACAGGGTACACGCATTAAAATGAACTTGCATATGAATAAGATTCCAACATTTTTTGATTCTTACAATCCAACATTTTCGAATATACACAACTTCAATTAACATAGCATTTTTTAGATGAACAATCAAATCGTGCAATTAAACCAAAAAAAAACCCCGACAAACTTTACTCCCAAGTTTGTTTAACACACACGTGTATTAAGAGATATTTAAAGTATTGAAATTCTAAATAATCGTAACAAATGCAAAAATAAATAATCAACAAATAAAGTATTTATTTTAATTCCTATATATCATGATAATGTGATAAGCATTATCTTTTTTTTTGTTTTTGTCAAATGAAACATTTTCAAATTGAAATATGTCATACACATTTTAAAACGAATTGGGTTCTGATTAGATACCAAGTTTTTTGTTATTCTAGAATCAGAATCCACAATAGTTAAATAATGTCATACACACATTCAAACGAATTTAAATATGAGTTAGATTGGAAGATTTTTGTGATATATATATATATATATATATATATATATATATATATATATATAATAAGAATTACCATTTATAAAAAATAGTAGCAAAAAAAATTAGGAAGCATTTAATGCATACTATTTTTGGAATTTTTTTGAACATATGCATTAATTGCTTCAATATACACGTTTTACTTAAGTAAATTTATTAATATCTGCAATATTTTCAATGATATTTATTATAATAAATTCAAGATTAGTTTTCCGTTATTCATGTTGATAATATTTTGGTCAAGATAAATATTAATTTATTAATATTTGTAATACTTTGACTAATATTCATTACAATAAATTACAAGACTGATTTCCATGATCCATGTTGATAACAATTTGGTCAAGATAAATATTACACCATATTTTAAGTTAGAAAAATAAAATTATTTTTTCACAAATATTCACTTTTTAACCAAAAATATTTATGGAAAATCGTAGCATGTTAGGTAGAATTTGTTTTTCCAAGTAATCAGACAAAATCAAGTTGGTGAATTAATCTTTGCTGATATTTTTTTTCTTAAGCTTTATTTTGTTAAAATAATTTTTTTTTAAAATTAATATAATTTATCATTAATAGATAATGACCAGATACATTAAATATTTTTACTACTTGTAAAAACTTAAAATTAAGATATATTAACTATTTTTTAGAATTTATTTGTATATTATTGGCACCCATGATTATTTTTTTTTTATCTTTTTCACTTTGATTTATTTCTATAATTAAATTCTTGTAAAATATATTTTCATTGCAGAGTATGCTATATAAACTATAAATCCTTATAATGCAAATTAGAAAAATCTTGATCATTTTCCAAATCAAAGTTTAATTAGTATATAACATTAAATTTTCAAAAAACATGTTTATATTTTGTAAAATATTTATACACTGTTTAAGTTTAAATTTATTTACATACTTTAAAGTGATTACATAAATAAATAATACCAACGTGCATTAAATATTTTTCATTACATAAAATAAAAAGAAAAAGAAGACACAACTTCTATAACTTTATAAATAATAATGACATTAAATGACAGCAAAGTTTATAATAAAATAATAACTAAATATTATATGGTGAACAAGAATAAGTAAAATTATTATTCTCTCTTTTATCAATGAATATATATATTAAAATCAAATTTATATTAGTATAAATGTGTTAGTGAGATATTAAATTAATTATTTTACAAGTTAGCCCTAACATGCTCATATTTAACTAAAAAAACAACGTCGATTAAAAGAGGTGCAGAATAGATTATAACCTTATTGTTTATTACACTTAACACTGATTAAAATAGGTAAAAAATAGATGATATTGCTTTATATACTTAAACGGACAACTCATTTAATATTTTTGTCTCGTGCATCGCACGGGATACGTACTAGTATTTATACAAAAAGCTAAGACTAGTTTTGTTATATTAAACGAGTTTGCCTCGCCTCGGCTCGAGCTTGAGCTCATACAAAGCTCGTTTGGTTAACAAGTCGAGCTCAGCTCGACTCGATAAAGTTCGCAAAGAGAATTTGATATAACTTTCTATAGTTCGGCTTGTTAAACCTCGAGACTGACTCAAACTTAACGAGTCGAGCTCGCGCTCGATCTTTAGCTCGTTCATTTAACAAGAAAAGCTATTTTAAGGGCTCAGACTTAATCTACAACACCTAAAGCTCGAGCTTGGCTCAGCTCATTTTCAGGCCTATATGGGCCAGACAGATGAAGATAATTGATAAAGTGCGAAATTGATATGCGATAAACTCTGCGCCAAACATGCAAATATAATTGATGAAGTGCGAAAATATTATGCGATAAACTATGCGACACACAGGCGAAGATAATTTTTAAAGTACGAAAAACTTATGCAATAAGATATGCAACAGACAAGAGTAGATAATGATAAAGTGCGAAATATTTATACGAAAAGTTATGCTACAGACAAACGAAGATAATTGATAAAGTACGAAATACTTATGCGATAAACTATGCAACAAACAAGCAAAGATAATTGATAAAGTGTGAAATAGTTATGCGACAAGCGAAGATAATTTTTAAAGTACGAAATATTTATGTGATAAGATATGCGACAAACAAGTGAAGATATTTGTTAAAATGCGAAATATTTATTGGAAAAACTATGTGAAAAACATACGAAGATAACTAATAAGTTCTAATTTATACGAAAAGTTATGCGACATACAGACGAAGATTGTTGATAAAGTGTGCAATGAGATATGTGACAGACATGAGAAAATAATTGATAAAGTACAAAAATATTATGCATAAAGCTATGCGAAGATAAAATCGGAAGATAAACCAGAATGAATTTATCACAAATATGTATTCAAATTGGCCATCTACTCATACAATAAAATAAGCACAAGAAATTCATAAATGAAATATAAACTGGAATGAATCAAATTAAAACTATATCACAAATCAATCCAAATACTAAAAAATCCTATAATGAGAGAGAGAGAGAGAGAGAGAGAGAGAGAGAGAGAGAGAGAGAGAGAGAGAGAGAGAGAGAGAGAGAAGAAACTTATTCGGCTTCGCCGATTTCTTCTTCCTTGCTTTCTCTCTTGCTCGTGGGTTCCTAGCCTTCAAAAGTCTCTTTTAGAAAAAAAAAATCACCTAAATCAGTGTCCAAAAGTTATTTATATAGTTGGAGTCGAATCCCCGTCATAACAGCTTGCGATCCATCATCTTAAACGTCGAACGGCTGCCGATCCATCATCTTTCGCATTGGGCTCCCGGATTGAAAAGGTTAGGCCCAATATCTAACAAAAAGGAGGCAGGCCTAAACCAAATACGCAAATCCGAAATTAATGTATAACCGGTCTAAGAGTGGTTCGAAGCTCGCAGACCTATCGAATTCGAAAGATTAGCACACTGTACCCCGTCTTCCTAGACAAACTGCTTCGATTTCCAGTTACTTCGGACTCAGTGAGCCATGAGCGGCGAGTCGCGGTACGAGATCCAGCAGAGCGCCTACCTGAAGCTCGTCCTACACGCCCTCAAGCACCGCACCTCCGCCGTCAACGGCGTCATCCTCGGCCGTACTTCTCCCGATGGATCCACCGTTGAGATCGCCGATTCCGTCCCTCTCTTCCACTCCCAGATCGGCCTCCTTCCTCCCCTGGAGATCGCTCTGATTATGGTATGCCCCTCTGTACTGAGCGCTATTTCACTGTTCATATTGTTTGGTTTTAGGTCAAGATTCTGAAATTGAAATTTGAGACATCGTAGATAGAGGAGTACTATGGAGAAAAGGGATTGAGTATTGTTGGTTACTTTCATGCCAACGAGAGGTACGATGATTACGAGCTTCCTAGTGTCGCCAAGAATATTGGCGATCACATGACCCGGTATTTTCCTCAGGCTGCGCTGCTTTTGGTGCGTTTTAGCTGAAATTGACATTGAATTACTCGTTTGAAATTTTATTAGCAGCTTGACATTCAGTTTGTGCCGAAATGATCGATTATTTAAAGTTTGCGGTTTTTTCTTTCAGTTGGATAACAGTAAGCTCGAGGATTTACCCAAAGGAAAAGATCGAAGTCCAGTCGTGCAGGTAATTTGTTGCTGAGATTTTAAGTGAGTTGTTACAAATATCTGTATAGTTCTTCGTTGTTGCTTAAAATGAAAGGAAAAAGAGTTCCTTTAATAATTCCCAACTATTGATTGTATTTGTTATCCCTACTAGTAAATGTTGTGATTAGTAGAAAGGTAAAATTATCGTCAGACTAGTTTTAATCATCGATTAACAGCTAAATGTATTGTTGACTAATGTGAAGGTTGGCCGCACGACAAAGTTTGTTGTGTATTTACTGTGATCCAATTGGTACTTAAACCTTGTGAGCAAATTGCTTAATTTTCTGTGTTTGTCTTGTTAAATGGCACTATAATTACCTTTAACACGTTAGAGTGTATAGTTGGCTTCTTCCATGGCAATATGAGCTTGCTAGAACTGGTTAACATGTGCTTGTGTGATATTCGTATATTTGTCATGTATACTCGCTCTAGCACAACAGACACGCTCCAGTGAATATATACAAAACATGGTTGCGAACAAACGCACTATACAGAACATGGTTGCAGATGTAGATGCTACATTGGGCAATCGTACGATAGTCGTGTATTAAATCATAGTTCCTGTGTCTTATGTTCTATGCATGTATTTTTGGACGTTTCATGTAAGACTAGAATTTTCTGATAATTAGATCTTAATTTGTTTATATTGAACTCTCTCTCTCTCTCTCTCTCTCTCTCTCTCTCTCTCTCCCTCTCCCGCTCTCTCTCTTCCCCAAACACATATCTTTGTTCAAGTTCAAATGAATTATATTATTGATGAGCTTGTCTATATGTGTATACTTTGCCTAGCTTTACACGAAAGATGGATCTAGCTGGAAGCTAGTTGGATCAAAGGGTAGCAACCAGCTCACTCTTAGAGAGCCTTCAGCAAATACTGTGCTTTTGGATTACATCTCATCTGGGAAATGGAAGGACATTATTGATTTTGATGACCACCTGGATGACATCAGCAAGTGAGTCATAATAATTCTTTCTGCTTTACCAATGATGTAAATAGATTTTTTGGTCCCTTTCCGATTCTCCTTGCTGAAATCTGGAACGTGTTTGTAGGGACTGGCTGAACGCAGGACTTTTTGAATAAGCTTCAAGTGTGTGAATCTTAATATTTGCTCGATGCAAGTAGTGGTGTATTCACATTCTTAACATGGTTATCACTACCATTTCCGAGCTCTTGGACAACAAGTTGAATACCATTGTTGGGATGTAGCGATTTTTGTGCCGCATAGACTTTTTTCTACTATACATTTATCGCAGTTGTTGCTGATGGTGGTTCTTAATTGAACCATGATTCCAGCTTTTCGGTTCATCGTTGCAACTTTTTACTCGTTTGTGTTCTGTTGTGGATTAGCTAGCTGTTCATGGTGGCTTGTTAATATCCTTGTTATATTGTTATGATGGAATTTTTAACCTAATTACTTTTACAAAAGAAGGTAAAAAAAAAAAAAAAAAAAAAAAAAAAAAAGAAAAAGAAAATAAAGCAACTTCTCATACTCTTTGTATATGCCGCTATATATAGTAAAACTTTATGAAAGTAGTCAACTTCATTGAAAGTAGTTAGACTTTATAATGTAGGGAAGCGTACGAATGGGAAGGATAAAACGAGTAAACGAGATACTCTCTCGTAAAATACGCTAAACTCACAATATCAGTTCATCTTTTATTCATAATCAACTGCCTAAAACAATATATGATGAGCCCTTTAAATAAGACTCCAAAACTTTATTTCTAACTTGTCCAACAAGACAAGATCTCTAATAATATTATTTATTTTCTAACTTATTCTCTAACATGATGATGATGATAATAATAATAATAATAATAATAATAATAATAATAATAATAATAATAATAATAATAATAATAATAATAATAATAATAATCTACACCATTCTCCTCCGGTTCGGAAGGCTTCGCCCTCGAGGCCGATGTGCACTCGTGGCCGACGTATGGTGTCGAACCCATGGTAGTAATTCCCGTCGTTTCCCCCTGTCGAACACGAAGGTTGAATGCCTCACCTCCATGGTATCACCCTTTGAAATTCATGGAAACACATATATGCAGCTACCACACACAGAATATTGAAGTCACTGTGTGGACTTAAAAACAACATTTGTTTGCAAGGTCGCAACAAATTCCCGTGGGAGAAAAGCTCGGGCCTGCGCAACAGAAATACAACCAATTCTTCTAGCAGCTGAATTTTGATACACGGAACATGATGGAATTCCTCTAGCCCCGGAGGTTCCTCATCGAAAATCGGCGGACCGTCGTAGGGATCGTCCACTTCGTCGGTAAGACGTTCCTCCACCTCTTCGGGTCCTTCATCAAACACAGGCAGACCATCGTACAATGGCCCGTCAACTTGCTCTTCATCGAATTTGGGGATGTGAACGCGAAACGGGCCCTCCCATTTACCATATTCGCGATCAAGTCCACAACCGTGTCGGGCACGATAACCGCCGGCGAATTCGCCATCTTTAATGCCGTTCAGAGGTGGCGGGAACCGCTGCCGGGGCGCCCCGACATGGCCGCGTCCCCCACAGCCGCCTCTGTCTCCCCCGCGAAAGCCACAGCCCACAGCTCCATCGCGGTTCGTTTGCAATTCCGAAACAACCACGTTGTTAAGCGTCAAATGCAAATCTCTGATCCCCGTCGAAAGATCGTCAAACCAATTCGTGAAACGCATGTCCAACTCTTGAAATCGGTAGTCAATCTGTTGAAACCGATCGTTGAAGGTTGCATCACGTTGTTCGTTTGCGGCATTTTGTCGTCCCGACGACATCGCGAATCGTACTGACTGCTGATACAAACTGATGTAGAGAAGCGTACGAATGAGAAGGATAAAACGAGTAAACGAGATACTCTCTCGTAAAACACACAAAACTCACAATATCAATTCATCTTTTATTTATAATCAACTGCCTAAAACAATATATGATTAGCCCTTTAAATAAGACTCCAAAACCTTATTCCTAACTTGTCCAACAAGACAAGATCTCTAATAATCTTATTTATTTTCTAACTTATTCTCTAAGATGATGATAATAATAATAATAATAATAATAATAATAATAATAATAATAATAATAATAATAATAATAATAATAATAATAATAATAATAATAATAATAATAATAATAATAATCTACACCACTTTATTAAATTTTTTGCAATTGGTGTGAATGTAATTAATTCTGTCGATATTTGTTTCTAGTAATAAGAAAACCGGAATCCACTAGAAAACAGGGCACCCATCGACCTCGATCCCGGGTGCTGTGGGGCAGCTCGCCAATTGACAGTGATCTTCTGCCGGCAAACCAATCAAATTACATATTCTCCATTTTTTTTCTTAAAAAAAAAAAAAAACTTTTTACACCTCCAGTCATTCTTACCTGAGTTGTCTGTGCCAATAACCAGGCTGCCACAAGATTCAAGCTCCGGCGATAGAAATCCTTGACAATGTTTATAATGCCGATGGCATACACTCCGGACGACCCACTTCCCGCAAAAAATGTAATCATGACGTGCTCCTTGATGTTAAATGGGCCTGGGTTTAACGAGAAGCTCCAATCCGTGAGGGGCACACAATACGCCGTGGTGGGCAGGATTCTGGCTATGAACTTGCCGATCAATCTGCACGGTCAGAGACGAAAGGAATGTTGGAAAAATCAGTTATAAAACTTGGGTTTGACCCGGTTTTGACTGAATTTTTTATGACTAAATATTTAATTTAATTTGATCTAAATATTGTAGAAAAATTCTACGTTCCGAGTAGATAATTCTTAAAGCTGATTTTCGGTGTGTGAGAAATAAATTGTTAAAGTTAGCCATATAAGGGCACGTAAAACGTTGGTTGTGGGATTTGAAGGGTCAAGAGTTATTCCCACATTGGACTCTTAAATGAGATTAACTCTCTTTATCATAATAAAGAGAGTTAGAGAGGTCACAACAAGCATAAAGCTATGCACCAAGTGTTGGTGTTTGCTTCGGCCACAAGCACGCGCGCGCCCGCTGGCCGGCCGGCTCGGGCCCAGGCCTGGGCCTTGGTTCTTGGCAATTGGACTTTAAGCTGGACATGGGCTGCCTTGGGCGGTTGGGCTTGGGCCTTGGGCCCATATATAATATATCTTTTTGCTGCAAATTTATTTGCAATTTTAGGCCCAACTGAAAATTCCAAATCAAGTTGGACTTGGACTCAGGTTTAACCCAACCTGAGTGAGACCTTTCCAGGTATAATGAACCTGGATACCTGACTATTCATGTGGAATGCGACTGTTCAGGTGGAGTGTTAATGGTGTTAATTACTGGTTAATGATATTAACTCCTGGTTAATGGTGTTTTAACACCTGAAACATTTATGCCCATTATCTCTGCCTTAAGTGGCAGATGTGACTGTTTTCTTTCTCTCAAGAGGTGGAAGTCCTATAAATAGGACTTAGAGCTGCAGAGGAAGACACACCATTTTTTATGCATTCTTAATACTCTCAAAGCCTCACACATCATATCAAAAGTGATATGTTCTCGATTTCATTCCAGTTCGTCGGAGCTCGAATTCTGGTGTGCTACAGCGTTCGAGACGTAAGTCGTTGTATCTTTGGGGACGAGACGCCTGAACTCATCAACACTATACGGGGAGTTTTCGTCTTGCGGAAAGAGCAATCGCCTCGACCTTTTCCGCTTTCTCTTTTGTATTTTTCGATTCTGTTTTAGACCACTTTGTAAGAACTGAAATCATCATCTTCAGTTCATAGGTTTACTGTGTAATCAAACACTACTTTGTGTAACAAGGAAAATCGGGTTCTGGCGGTAGCTGAAGAACAAGTTGACGAATGCCAGCAGGACGCACGATGTCAGCCCCATCAGCCACGTCCAAGAAGTCAACACGGGTAGGGTCGGGTTGTTAGTCGGAGGGACGTGTTATTATTGAGAGGAAATAACTAAGTATGACTCCTCTTCTATTAAAATATTGCATTGAGTATTGGGTTGTGTACCTCTTGAGTTTGTCCCATATGCCAATTTGAGTGGAGTATTTGTTATCCGAAAATTGCCATTCTTCTGCATTGGTTTGTGTGAAGATTTGTACCCATACCTTATCATTCCATTGGCTTTTGTAAAGGCCATACTGAAATGATTATTTTACAACCTCATTCTCTCATATAAATAGGCATGCTCGGCCAGAAGGAAATGACACCGAAAAAAAAGAAAGAAAGAGAGAAGAAAGAAAAAGAAGGGAAAGAAAAGAAAATATATGTCCAAATATCTGATATAAAAATATCAAAAGAGAAGAAACAAGTGATATTTTTTATTTGTTTCAGAATATTCATTTTATTACCGAGTGCTCAATTCTCGATTCCGTTCCCGTTCGCCGGAGCTCGTAAATCTGGTGTGCTACAGATTTAGAGACGTTTGCCGTTGTATCTTTGGGGAAGTTACGCCTGAACCGTTAGCTGCCACACGGGGCGTATTCTTCTTGCGGAAAGAGTTTTACTCGCCTCGGCTAAGACTTTCCGTTTTTCAGTTGTAATTTATTTTTTCAGTTCAATTGTAATTATTTACTTTTAGATTATTTGTAAGAACTGAAAATACATATCAGTTCGTAGGATTCCCGTGTATTTATACCCAAAATATTCAACAATCGCAAGAAGAATATTAGTCAACCTACTGAACTGATGGCATACAACGGAGAAGGTTCTCAACATCAGCATCCAGTCAATCATGTACTTGCTGTCCATGTCCCTACTGCTGAGAAGCCCGAAAAATTCAACGGGCTTGACTTTAAGAGGTGACAACAAAAGATGCATTTTGGCCAGACCACTTTGGGTTTGGTGAAATACCTGAAGGACGACCCCCCGGTCATTGCTGAAAATGAGACAAATGTTGAACTACGCACTGCGTACGATGCTTGGGGGCAAGGTGACTACCTTTGCCGGAACTATGTCCTGAATGGACTTAGTAACGAGTTGTACAATGTGTACAGCTCTGTTGGTTCTGCCAAAGAACTTTGGGCTGCCTTGGAGAAGAAGTACAAGACGGAGGATGCCGGGGCGAAGAAATTCGTCGTCGGCAAATTTCTTGACTTCAAGA